GAAACTCTAAAATCTTCTGTTTGATATTCATAAAATTAACCCATCACTTTTATCCCTTCACTAAGGAAAGAAACCAAGCACATTGAGAGCATTTTCACAGTTGGAAAGAAACTCCAACTAAAGATATCCCAAATGTATGCACCTATTCCAATGTACATGATACTGCTGGAGTACCAAAACGGACTTAAATCATATTGAAAATGACAGACAATCAAACAGTTTTTTACCATAGTTCCTATTTTCACGAAGGTTTTATTTCTGCTGTTAGTTTATTAAATGATTTGATGAAAATACTTGTTGGTCTTGGTATATTCAATCGTGTTATTTTTAAAGACTTAGGGTTTGATTGTTATTACAAAAATAGTATTTCTCAATAAGCAGACCAATATTTGTTGGTTTCAATATGAATTGAAAGGTTTCTACGATTTTATTTTGAGAAATATTGCCCTTGGTTAATATCATATACACAGAAAACAAATGAAAAAATGCTTTTTTTTTTTACAAAAATGAGACATTTCTGTACAGCAAAAACGGTAGCTAACCAAGAAAATGTTAGGCCATTTTCAGATTCAGCGCCCTCAAATTACCTAAAAAGATATTCATTTATTGAACAGTTTTATTTATTGGAGTAATTTTGTACATTGACGACCTCGTTGCAAATTTTCCGATAACACCTCGCTGTCTTAAACCCGCATGTACCTAGCATGTACATTATTAACCCTAGCATGTTTTAGCACCCAAAATTATCAAAGTACTCGTAATTCCTAGTTGGCATTTTTTTTTCTTTTGCTCTATGCCACTAATCTCCTGACTCAGCGTGCGTGTGTAGCACGTTGTGTGTCGCATTTGTAGCTTACTTTTCGTGGGCGGTAGACACTAGATGTCTATCCATTTTCGGAAATCTGTGGTGACTAGTGCAAGGTTAAGTTAATGTATTTTTATTTTAGGATGAAACTAGTAGCCGTTTTAGTAGTATAACATCAATTATACAGTCTCTAGCGGCCTTAACTTATAAGACAAGTTTAGAACTAGATCTGTTACTAGATTCATAATAATAGCGAACACTTTGGTTGTTATTATGCTACAACAGAGAAACTTAATTGAGCAATAATAGTTTTATTAATAAGACTAATGAGCGGACCTTTAGATTGTTAGCTTGTTACCCGCTGAATAGAATGTAATCGGTAGGATTGTGAACATGCTGTTTCGTCGGAAATTGCAGTTCTTTCATACAAACTGGGACGCATATAGTGATTGAATCAAACCATTATTTTGAGCATGTCATCTTCATAACGGAAAGCTACGAATCATTCTAATATTCTGGAATCATACTTCATTCCCTGAGATAAATTAATATAGAAATGAAAAAAAATGGAGGACGGCAAATATTCGCGCTTTTAATATCAGACAAGAACATGCAAATTACGCACAGGCAGTATGAGCGAATCAAGATGGCGACAAAGAGAAGTCTGTCAAATATTTCTTGGAGGGAATTGGTTAAAAAAAAGGAAATGGTGGATGGCAAAGAAAGGGGCGTCTGAAAGAGATGGAGAAGTTCGAAAAAAAAAAAACAAAGCCAAAAATTCGATGCAATTTGGGAAGGAATGTTGTGAAAAGCAAGCGAACAGGAAGTAATTGAGAAAGATGGCAACGATTTTGGACAGGACGTGCCGAGGTGAGCAAGGTTTGGAGAAAGGAGATGGGATGGACGGAGCTCGTGCGATTAATGTATCGATCTGTAATCTGACCCAATCAGCAGTGATTTTTCCTGTCGTCTTTTACGCTTCTGTGAGGAAATTGAAGATCGAAGACCATTAGATCCCTCCTTCAACTAGTTTACTGTGTTCATTTACTCAGGATCTCGATTTATATATATTTTCATATTTTTATCTCTTTTTATACACGTCTTCCTTTTATTCTTGGAGATTCTGTTTTTTTTTCTGATTCCTTCCCTCCTTTTCTCATTTTTAAAAGGAATTTCTTGCTCTTTCAAAATTTTCCCTTTAAAAGTTTATTTTTTTGCCACTCTTCCTATTGCTTTCATACCCTTTCTTTCTCTCTTTTCTCTTAAATTTATCTCTCTTTATCTATTATTCTTTCTAGTTATGATCCTCACTTAACCTTTCTTTTTCTCCCGTCCCCTCCTACGCTTCCTCTTCCACTTCCTCCTTACTCTATTTCTATTTCAGTCCTGGGTATGACGATAAACTACATCCAGAAAAAGGCCTCTGATAGGGAAATTGAGGGATTTGAAAGCATGGAACCACCTTTTATTCCCAGGTCCACTCTGACATGGAGTTTTTCACCTTTTAGGGTTCTAAATACGGGCAAATAGTGGACCCGGAACCAAAAAATAAAACACTATGAAAGTATAAATATCCAAGCAAGACATTTTATATAAATAAAATACCAACAATACAATTTTAAAGCAAAATGAACAACAATAAATTTTATCTGTAATTGAAGGCATACAATTGCGTTCAAAATAAATTTAGTTGAAACCAAAAGTCCACTACGCAAAATATTTCGATTTCGGCATTAAATAAATCATAGATGTTGAGATGCCGCTAAACAAAATCAACCAACCAATAAGGATATATAATTTTTTTCTTCCTTTGTTTGACTGGCTAGTGGATGGTTTATGAAATGTTTTATCGAATGTAACTAGGAAAACTGTATATAAAAATAAGTAACAGTCCTGGGTATGACGATAAACTACATCTGGCAACAAGGCCTCTGTTTTTGAGGAGCGTAGGCCCACCCCTTACTTGCTGCTGTTTAACTCCTTACTAAGTAACGGCTGTGGTAACCCCTGTTAAACATTGCTAACAAGGCTAGGCAAATATTTTCAGGTCATCCCATAAGTTCTGTCCGAATTTTAACTTTTTGTTCAAATGAACAATATTTAAAGAATATATTATAATGCCTAATGGAGCTGAACATTATTTTTATGTTTAGATGCATTTAAACTGATCAAATCTTATTTCAGAGAACAATAAAATTAAATTTTGTTTGATTAAAACACTGCTAACATGGAAGTACTCAAGAATCATTTGAGGCACATAATGATTTATGAATTCAAGAAAGGAAACTCAGCAGCCGAAGCGGCTAGAAACATTCACTCATTTTATGGAGAGGAATGTGTGAATGAAAGAACTTGCAGAAGATGGTTTGCAAAATTCAGAGGTGGAGATTTCACCCTTGAAGATGAAGATCGAACCGGACGTCCAGTTGAATTTGATGAAAAGCTTCTCGAAGCAGCACTTGAAGAAAATCCTGCTTTATCAGTTGAGGAATTGGCAGTGCTCTTCAGTTCAAACCATACAACTGTTCATTGTCATCTTCAACAACTTGGAAAAGTTCCTAAACTTGTAAAATGGGTGCCTCATGAATTGTCTGAAAACAACCTCAAATCCTTGAGTTGACATCTGCTCTTCTCTCCATTCTCACCAACTTGTTTCACCTTTTTTGGATAGACGTGACTGGCGACGAAAAATGGATCTTTTATCGAAATGTTAAGCGTCATAGACAGTGGCTTGGTAAAGGGGAAGGACCCCAGCTACAGCCGAGAAGGGAACTTCATGGGCAAAAGGTTCTTCTTTCAATCTGGTGGGATCGCCAAGGAATAATCCACTTTGAATTCTTACCACCTAATGCAACAATTAATGCTCAAATATACTCTCAGAGCGTTTAAACCAAGCTTTGAGGAAAAATGACCTGCTCTATTGAATCGAAAATGGGTGATGCTTCATCAGAACAATGCGCGACCCCACACAGTAAGAATCACGTCACAAAAGATCGAAGAACTTGGTTGGGAGAAAATTCCTCATCCACCTTATTCTCCCGATCTTGCTCCTTCAGACTACCATTTGTTTCGTAGCTTACAGAATCATTTGGAAGAAACAGCTTTTGTAACACAGAAAGAGGTTAAAACTGACATTTGTGAGTTCTTCGAATCAAAGCCAAAAGAATTTTACAGTAATGGAATTAGTAATCTTGTTAATAGATGGAAGGAAGTCATAGATAATCAGGGAAAATACATTGTTGATTGAATCTGTAATTAAATGTAACATTTGGTCACTTGTTTTCTTTATTCAAAATTCGGACAGAACTTATGGGATGACCTGATAGTAAACAAAACGCTATGAAAGTATAAAAAGACATTTTTATAGTTAAATTACCAACAATGCATATTTATATCAAAAGAACCAGCAATACATTTTATAGCAAAATGACCAACAATACATTTTATCTGTAGTTGAAGGCATGCAATGGCGTTCAAAATATATTTAGTTGGAGCCAAAAAAATGTGTTCAAAACATTTCGATTTTGGCATTAAATAACTCATAGAGATGTTGATGTGCCGTTAGAAAAAGTCAACTAACCAAGCCATTGTTTACTTTTCCTTATTCTCTCTTTCTCTTTCTTTTTCTATCTTACTCCTCCTTTTCCCCCCGCTTTCTGCTTTTTAATTTCCCTTCTTCTCGTTTACTCTCTTGTTTGTTCATTCTAGGCCTCTCTATTTCTATTTCCTGCCTCTCTTTCTCTCTGTTTTCAGTCTCTCTTCCCTTCCTCTCTTACACATTTTCTCTCTCTCTCTCTCACACATTTTCGCTTCTTCTCTTTTTCTCTCCCTTGTCATTTCTCTCTGTTTTTCTTCAGTAAGTTGTCTCTTTTTCCTTTACTCTGTTTCTCCATTCCACCTTCTCTTCCCTATTCTGAGAATATGTCAACCTCTTTCCTTGTTATCTTTCCTTTCTCTCTTTTATATTATCTCCCATTTTCCCTTTCTCCTTTACTTCTTCTCTCTTCTTCTCATACTCTCTTTCACCTTTCTTTTGCTCTCTTATTATTACTCACAGTCTTTCGTTATTTTATCTCTTCATTTCTATAAATTAAATAACATTTTTTTAATCATTGTTGAAGCGTTTCTTTTTATCATTTAGAACAGTTCAATTTCCTAGAAATGGCGGAAGCAACTTGGGTTATTGTAATATCCCGTTGAAACACCGGTTTTCGTTCGATCACCGAAGTTAAGCAACGTTGATCCTGGTCAGTACTCAGATGGGCGACCGCTTGAAAATGCCTTAAGCTACGTGTCAGGCCTGGCAAGCCGGCTATGAATTAAGCTCGCTATTCATACGAACAGAAGAACTCGATATGTGAAGGTTCTTGACTGAGAGGTTGCAAGGCCTACGTCAAGTTTGATGGGTGGTATGTGGGTAGTTTAAATAAGTGTTAAAAACGAGACCTATTCTCTACGTATCCTTTTATTTTCTGGCTGTCCTTTTGTTATACCGGAACGTACCTATTCTATTGTAAATAGACTCTCCCACAGATAATTAGTAGTAGTAGCAGTCGCCAGTGGAGCTCAGTGAGTTGTGTGTCAGTCGATGTCGGACATTAAAGTATGAGCCCCACAACTAGATTGCTGCGTCATTAACTATTATTTCAAGTTCCTAACGTTTTGTACGTCGAACCTAATTTAGGACCAACTTAGTGAAATACAAGCCTCCACTGTGAAAACTACTCTACAACACATTTTCTTCTTATATTCTGTACCTATCCTTTTCTTCTTCTATTTTCTGCCTGTCCTTTTCTTCTTCATCTTCTTTCTGTCACTCTTGACCCTTAGCAGACTCTCACATTTTGCTATGGTTCCCGCTCCCTGGTTGCGTGACGTGTCTGAAAGAAAAAAGACAAAATGAAAATACGGAAGAAAATAAAGGAGTAAGAAAACTAAAATGTCAGGAAGAAAAAAAAAACTAAAGACTAAAATGAGAAAGAAACGCTGACAATTCCATGAACAGAACGAGTAAACAACGAAGAAGTCTTAAAGAAAAGGCCAAATAAAAAGAACAGTTATGCTTAGAATCAGGAAGAGAGAGCTGAAATTCCTTTGACGCATAATGAGGAAGGCGGATTGGAAAACTTAATAGTGACAGAGCATACTGAAGGCAAGATAGATATGGGAAGGCAGCAAGTCACCTCCCTGGAAAACTATGATAAATTGTATCTTAATTTCGTACAATTTATTTATATTTGTTTGTATTGGTGTGTGTATTTTATAGATTACAATTGTCTTATGGAACAAGTGATAAAGGGGAGGAGCTAACTGCATAGTATTACAAACCTATCACAGACTGAAGTTGAACACGTGTTGCTTGCACCAAGGTTCGTGGTGAAGAGATTGAATTTAACGTCTTTTGTGTGAATGGAACCTTAGCAAAAGTCGAAAAAATGCTAAGGGCCAAAATGGATAGCAATATTTGGAGAGCTATGATCGCTCATGTCTGGAAGGGATTCGGCTTATAGAAGAAGAAGAAGAAGAAGAAGAAGAAGAAGAAGAAGAAGAAGAAACCCGATAAACTCCTTCTAGGGCAGCGTTTCTCAACTGGGGTTCCCCGGAACCCTAAGCTTCCGCAAAGATCCCCAATCGTTCCGCGAGAACAGGTGAGCTAATACACTTTTTACTTTTTATTTAATGTCATATACGTAATATTACTAAACATACACATTATATTCTTGGTTATTGTAATATTGTAATAGGACGTTTTACCTTGATTTACCTTATGACTTGCCAGTAAAGGATAAAAATTTTTTTAAAAAAACTGATGCAGTAATTATGCTTTCGTTCTGTTTGCATTTATATTGTAAGTATATGATATTTGTTACTCATGTTTATTTTTTTTATGTTTGAGCTTAGAACTTTTTGTCTGAATGATAACTCCCTGATGAAGTATTATAAACGAACAGTAAGAATTTTATTTAGCATTACCAAAAAATTTGATAAAGAAATATTAATTTTTCCTTAAACCAGTTATTGTCTTTGCGCAGGTGTTCCTTCACAGATATAATTTATTTTAAGGGTTACGCAAGGGTAAAAACTTTGAGAAACGCTGTTCAATAGGATCAAGATTGACTCGTTAGAACAATTACGACTGAGTGGTGAGTTCGATCCTGATTGGGTTCATACTACGCTTAGAAAATGACCTTGCATACATACAGGGTGGTCCGAAAGTCTTGTCACTCCCTACCAAACAGAAATAAGAACAATAGAACAATACAGTAATACAAAGAACATGTACGGGGTTCAGTTTATTCACTCTCATTGACGTTGTCCGAATGAACACTACCATTTTCGTGTCAGCCATCTGAAATAGAAAATTATTTTATGTACGGGTGATAGGACTTTCGGACCACGCTCTACTTTATTAAAAAAAATTATTTAAGATTTACTACTGCTACTACTACTAATACTACTACTAATAATAAACAAACAAGTTGGTCCGAAAGTTTTGTCACCTCCTACGAAAAACTAATGAGAACAACAGAAGCATAAGTAATGCAGTAATACAAAACACATGTACTGGATTCAGATTCTTCGCTTTCAATGACGCCGTCACACATCGAGAAGGTCTGTATGAACAGCATAATTCTCGTGGGGACAAAATGATGCGGCGCCATATCCTGTGATATTTTACGAAGGTGTGATTTGTTGATAGATTAGTTGCAAAGGCTCTCCGAACGGCGTCCTTCAGCTGATGGGTATTCTGATATCGTTCATGTGAAACTGTCTCCTTGATAATACCCCACAAAGCGTTGAAATAGAAAATTATATTATGTAGCGGTGACAAAACTTTCGAGTCACCCTGGGTATATTTAATGGGTGCGATAGCTACGATTTTGTTCGTCGGGCCGACAAACAAAATCGTAGCTATCGCACCCATTAAGATAGCAACGCCTCTAACTACAGAAACTGGAATAAACTACAATAGCAACTATTTATTAAGTGAAGCACTGGTGCTGTGGAAAAGAAAAAGGATGAGTCTCTGTCATAGCAATTCGCTCGTTGTGAGAATGACACGCATCGAACATAAATTACACATTTAAGCTTTTGAGAGCGTATTTGGTTTTAGTATGCGAAGCTAATATTTACAAATAAATCCAATTATCTATCGGCGGTGCGTCAGATTTCTCGTCTGGAAGTAGTGACTGGAATTTGCGACGCCGGTGTGTCGTTCAGATTTGCCGTTCCTGATCCGTCGATGTGGTTGCTTTCTCCGTCTGTCTATACCGGTACCTGTCTAAATTCTAATTCTCCTCTGCTTATATCAGTAGTGATAGGCTCAACTTGACCAAAATTTCAGTTTCTCAATATTCTGTTTGATTGCCCAAACGTTGAATTCCTTAATTCTGATTTACTTGTTTTTGATATTTTACTGAAACTATGTCCGCCGTACGCGTTGTTAACGTTTACGGCGTCTAAATGTCTAAAATAGTTAATGTTTTAATTCTGGCTACATACGTCCGTAGGTGGAAATATCTTCTTAGAGTTATATATATATATATATATATATATGTGTGTGTGTGTGTGTGTGTGTGTGTGTGTGCGCCCGCGCGCGTGCGTATATATATATATATATATATATATATATATATATATATGCATGTTTCAGACAAGGTGCTACGGTTAAGCTTTTTATTTAATTTTTCTTGTGTTCGAACAAGAGCTTTCGAACAGTTTTTACATAATTTATCATCTGAAAAGAAACAAATTATGAGATCGCATGAGAAATTGTATAAAAGACAAAATAAAATCACACGGTCTGTCGTATTCAATGAAATGTGCATGAAAGAAGGATTGCTTCCTAAATACACAGTATATATATATATATATATATATATATATATATATATATATATATATATATATATATACGGAAAATATTCGTGAATATAAAAGGATTATGATAAAAATAAGCAGACATAATGTTTGTAATTTATTCAATCAGGCATGCCTAAAAGAGAATTTTCTGCCGAAATACACAAATATATGTGTGTGTGTCTGTGTGCTTGTGTTTTAGACATTGAATTATGTCACTTTTTGTCTTTGCCTGACTTTTCAGGTAATTTGATAAATATTCATGAACGTTCCTCGATTAAAAATTTTGAAAAGCCAGTAACATTTTTTTTTTTTTTATGTAAATACTTATTATAGAATAAAATCGTTGTATTTTCCTTTGATAAAGATAATTTTTCTTTTGTCTTTATATATATATATATATATATATATATATATATATATATATATAGGGCGTATCAAAAATACCTTTTAAAATTTTGGAGGCGGGCTCCACATACCAAAGCATGAACAGAAGTCCATATAAAACATATGTCCAAAATCCTTCCTTGTTGCGTTATTAATTTTAAAGAAAGTTTACTGTAGATGGCGCCGTTTATTTGATTCATTTACTGCTGTCGCTAGATCGAAACTTTCACACGGATGTCATGCATGACACCAAACCCATTCGGAAATATCTAAACTCTCAGCTGAATACAACCTCTTTCTAAGATCAACGATTATAATGGCTTTGAGCAAGTGGAGCTAATGGATCTTGGTGAAGACAACACTTCTTCGAACTTTGTGAACTGGCGCTACAGAATCATAAAACAAAAGAACTTGCGTGTTAAATAATAGTTTAACAGACTATTATTTTTTTTAGAGAAGTAAATTTTGGCTATGACTTAGTTTAACCTTGAGGGTCAGATACAAGACAAAATAAAGGAAGTCGATTTTGATTAGCTGAACTAGCATGGGACTGATAGAGAAATGTTTTTCGGGGAGTCGACTCTAAACCGCCAGTGGGGTGAGAGAGCGACCGCTCTGGTTAGTCAAATTTGTTACGTCGACGTGTTAAATAAAAAAGTTCCTCTTAAAATCACTTTGTTGAATCTTCTTTTTTTTTTCTGGTCCCTAAAAGCATTTCGCTAACCGGTCGAGAGAAGAGAGAGAAGATAAAACACCGTATTGGCGCAGTTTCTAAGAGACCCCAGCATGATGGAGGTGTATACAATATACGGAATATCAGAAACAATATCACTTGAAGATTTTCAGCAGTAGCAACAGCTAAAATATATATCTCATGTAGCTCGAAGAGAAAATAATGACATAAGATTTTGACATTCCACACTACTTCAAGCAAAAGGTTAGGAAGGAAACCACCTTCAATACTGGAAATGAGCGATAATATCTACTGGATTTGAGAAACCTTTTTCCTTCGCCTTTTCACTATTTCTTTCCTATA